CAAACCTGAGAATTTGAAAAAGCACTGTACAGTGTGAAGTACTTAAATAAGACAAGGTTAGTAATATAGATAATAAATTACAGACAAGCCTGTCAAACTTTGTGACAAACCGTTGATAAACTTCTATCTAAATACGTATCATATCGCGGCATCAATATCTAGATACGTATCGTATCGACTTCTATGATGAGATACGCACCCCTAATATATATATATATACACGGACAAAGACAGAAATCCATTTCACACGTAATAATTTATGGAAGTAATTTTAAGGAAAAATATTTACGGCTGCAGAAAGTTATTTATTTCTTGTTCTTTACCTTAAAAGCCAATATTTTTATTTATGTATTGCCATTAACATCCTCTGTACATCATTGGTCGCTGGTTCAAAAAAAAAAATACTGTTATTATTTTCTTTGCCACAAAAAATACTTTAGTGCCCTGTGTCTGAAACAGAACTTTTAGTATCAAATTTTAATATGTATATATATATTGGTAACTCCAATGGTTATTTAATATAATTGTTTCTCGAGATACTTCTCCACTAGCCAATGTGGTGAGCTTAAAGATCTGTTTTACTAAGAAGTTCATTACTTATTGATATATACTTACATGCTTATAAGACGAAGTTTCGGTTAATTTTGTGCATGTGCGTTGTTTCAACAACCCTTTTCATGCAATCATGCCTTTCAATATATTAAATAACGCAAAAAAATGTGTATATGTAAAAACCTTTAACTGGGAAGACAAACAAACGTAAACTGACCATGAAGGAAATCTGTTATAAGATTTTTTAATCAAGGCTTACTGTTAGTAGAAGATTAAAGGCGATTACTTTAAGCGCACGTCACTGGTCGAAAAATAATTAAATTAAAAGTATCTCTGAAATATCAATAATAATCAAAGTACAGATTTCAGTAATAGACAACTTAATAAACAGATTAGCTGAAGGAAGCCTCATAATATTACTCGCTTTATGAAAGTAAGTAATAAGAAAGTTACGAACTCGGTATCATCCCCCATACAGATTTTTCGTATCAGACGAGTAACATAATCTGATAAAGAGCCACTCCATTCTCAAAACCAGTGAGAAATTCTATATAGAAGTTATAATGCTTATAAGGTATATACTTATCGATTATTATGTAGTTGGTGATATTCTAAATTTGTTCTTGAATGAATTGTACCATGTCGTGTTGGTTCCATTTTCGATAATTTGTGAGTTTTATTCTATGTGTAGCATGTTTTATTCTATGTGTATGCATGTAGCATATCTCTCACGCTTAAGGGTTGAATTTTGCTCAAGTTGCCTTGGTTTCATATCGTAAGATAAGAAACTCTGCCAAAACAAGAGAATCGACTCAATTACTGATGGTGTTGATTGTGATGCGTAAATGATTTGATAACAAGAAATTATCTTGTTTTATCACGACTGATACATAAGCAACGTAACTTACACTTCTAAATGATGATTTACTTTGTTGAGGCCAGTCAATCAGTAATTACAGTTTCGTGTTGGCTTATAACACATGTCGTTAGAGTTGGCTTAGAGATATTATGTCATTGTCACAACTTCGCAAAGAAAAAAAAACTGATAAAACTAACAGAAACATAAAAACTTATTTGATAACATAAAATGAGAGTTTACTATAATATTGAAATTATATAAATTACGATGGAAACGTAACTGTGCTCCCAAGGATCTGCTTGTTTTAAGTTAAGCACAAAGCTACACAATGGGCTATTTGTGCTCTGCCCACCACGGGTATCCCAACCCGGTTTCTAACGTTGTAATTCTCCACTGTACTACTTGAGGGAGGGCAGGGAACTGAAAAAAATTTCAAAAGCAGAATCTGTAACTGAATTAACGAGTATACCCAAAGACAAAAATATGTTAAGCTCAATTAATAAAACAACACCCCATTAAAATAAATTGGCCAAATTATGATAGTTTACACATTCAATTTCTGCAAAAATCAAACTCCAATAAACATGACACAAAAAATATTTTTTTCACACAAAACTAAAGGTGAAAGCAAAAAATAAGATATTCAGATTATATTAATATTTGTTACTATAATTATAGGACTTGTTATAGGACTTTTTATAATTTACCACTCATACAATAAACAGTACTTTCTAATTTTAAAGCTACATTTTGTTAAGAAAATTTAAACTGCATCCATTACTTTCCTCTATTCAATTTTCGAAACATCAAATAATAAAATATGTACAAATTAAACCGCATGTTATTAACATAAAATGTGTAATAATCACTTCCATATTTGCCCTCTTCGGTAGCTCAATGGTAAGCCAAAGAGCTGATAAAGTTAAAATTCGGGATTCGATTCCCATGATGGGTGCAGCATAGGTAACCCACTGTATAGGTTTGTTATTAACAACAAACTCTCAAAATTATCTTCATCTGAAAGGCTCTACTACTGAAAATATTAATAGCTTGAGATTAAATTAAATAACTGCCTTAGGTATTTATCTATTATATTAATTTCATTTCTATCTCAGCTGTGTTTCAATAATTCTATGGTTAATCCTAACTAATTTTTTACACCTATTGACCGACACTTTATAATATGATATATTAATTTTTTAGTTTATGAAAAAGAATTATATTTAGATACATTTTTCATATGCATTATCTTCCCCAGTGGCACAGCGGTATGTCTGTGGACTTATACTGCTAGAAACCCTGGTTTCAATACCCGTAGTGGGCAGAGCACCGACTAGCCCATTATGTTGCTTTGTGCTTAATAAATAACAACAACATATACATTAATTTATGTGATTGTTTTCAAATCTATCTTTGTTTTTCTAATAAAGTAATTCTGTAGTTTTGGTGCCAATAAATATTTTGTTTTTCTGGTTTCGTCGGTATCATTCAATGTGTAAACCACCATACGAATGCATTTTTTATTTTATACAAGTGTTAGCGGCAATTCTTCACTAACACTTCTTTTTTTCTCTTGGTGTTAATTATTTTTATTTCTTGAGAGGTATTGAAACTTCTGTCCTATTCACCAACAATATTGTGTACAATAACTGAGAAAACATCACAACTTTCTAACGAGTTAATTTCAAGTCACATAAAATTACTTTCTTGTTATTTGTACATGTTGTTGTCACACTTTTAAGTTTTTCAGTTTTCGAAACAGCCTATTCTAGTTTGTTTCAAAAGCAATTTCAAATTCTTCTTAACATATACACTTCATAGAACTGAAAATGTTATTGTTTTCACCATAGCATACACACATCAAGGGGACCATTTTGTACTTTAAGGCCCTTCTTGTACATCCACCGTTCAGAGAAGAAAAAATTTAAACTCAACCTTTATTTTTAAGGAAATGATCGAAGTCCCGGCCTTCGCTACTGCCGACAGAAATCATTCCATAAACCAGTCACCCTGCTAGAAAAGTAAAACTCAGTTAGAACCTAGCCTGTCTTGAATTCGTGGATTTCATCCTACTCTCTTCAGAATACAACACTAAGAAACCAGAGGCCTCTATTCTATCGATACCCCAGTTACTATTGTAAACTTCAATAAGATCATCTCTATCCCGTCTTTTCACTAGAGCAAATAAGCTAAGAAATTTTAACTGGCTCCATAAGACAAACCCTTTGTCACTATAAGCATATCAGTGGCTCTTCTTTGAACCTTTTTCAAAAATGAGTATCCTTTCTTAGATAAAGAGCTTAAAACTGTACGCTTATTTCAAGTATTTTTTTTATTTTACTTTTAGTTATAGATTATGTACTCTTTATTATTATCAAATGATATATATAAACACACAATAAAATAAAATGTTTAATAAAAAATAAACAAAATTTGTATTAGATATCATGTAAACATTTTCTGTTGGAAAGACGTATTTCTCACTTTAAAATATTATTCGCCTGTGTGCCTACAAAGCTGAACCTTGGTGTTAACTGTTAAAAAAAAAGTACATATAAATAAAGTGGATTTAATAACATTTCCAATTCAAGCAAATAATTTCATTTATTATGAAAGCACTATTAATCTATCTATCACAAATTATATAAGTTTAGTCACTAACTGGGAAAGTTACCTTTCATTCCGAACCTCTTTCAATTTGGTCTCTTTCGGGTATTTTATAAATTTCTGTTAAGTTTTCGTTTGCTGACCCTTCAGACGCTGCAATAAAATCGTTATGTTTTGATGCTAATGCTTCCGCAGATTTGTCTTCATAGATTGGAGTTGGGGTAGTACTGGTATAGTAAGCAGGGATCTGCTCCTCGGGGACAGGAAAGGGATGAACTACAGGACTGCCGTTAGAAACATGGTGTTCCATGGTTGACTGTTCATCACTTTGCATGGCAGGATCCCACAAAAATACATAATAAAGGGAAAGTACAATAGCAGCGAGAGAAACAGAAAACACGTATGCCATGACTGTCATCAGTCGGATGATTTTTTTGTTTTTCTTCGTTTCATAGAGCTTAGCTCGTGTCTGTTCGTTGGCAAATTTAACGCCTGTCTCCCCTCCTCCCGGAGTGGACTGCTGCTCTTTGCTGTTCATCCTCCACGATTCGCCGTAGCCCTTACTTCGGTAAGACGCCGTGTCTGCTCAGTTGTAAGTTGTATTCAGTCACTATAAATAGTATAATAGAAATATTTTTTAGGAGTAACGTGGGAAAATTCAAGTAATTTTGACCCTCACAATGGAAGTATTTTCCTCGTTATATAAAATAACTAAACATACTTTGAAGCTATTAGGTACGTGTTAAAATGTTTTTCGATGTTTAAGGACTAACCAACGCCCTGAGATGATACAGAGTATTCCCACAAAACCTCTTCGAATAGTGCCTTTATCTAATATAGAAACGACGATGCTGCCATCTAGAGCTAACATCCAATGAGGAAGAAGCTTCGCATATCCGAATACAAATCGATGATAAAATAATCTTAAATACCATAAACTAAGCGAATGGTTTACAAAATTATTTTGTTAAGAAATAAATAAAAAATTTTTCTTTTTTTTAAATGTTGCCATCTTTCACTGTGTTCTTAAAAATAAAATACAAAGTCTAATTTCACTCTTTACTAAATAATCGAATTGCTAATATCTAATGTAAACGATTTTTACTACTGGTATACAAATAGGAATTTTCCTTTCACTTAAAACTGAATCGGAGGCTTATACCATAGATATAATTGGCAAACTATGTCGCAATCGACTAAAGACCTGCAGGTAAAGGGGTGCTAATGACGCAAGGTGTATAAACAAAGAAAAAGTATGTCTATTTTATATGTTAAAGGAACTAAGAGTACTAGTGTACCTTAGATATCAAATTATATTCAAAACTTATCTTTTTGAACAAGAAAACGTATGATGGATATAAACTGAAAAATAAAAACTCAGTAATTGTAAAACAGAACAAAAGACTATAGGTTACCAACAAAGACAAACAAGGACAATAAATGCTAGGGCTATCTATGCTCTGTCCACCACGGGTATCGAAACTCGGATTCTAGCGTTGTAAGTCCGAAGACATACCCCTGTGCCACTGGGGGGCATGTGATTGTTTGAAGCAGACTAACTCGCCAGACTAACCTGTAATAAAGAAAGAATTTAGATGTATTACAGTGAAACTTTACAAAAGTACAGAATCTCAACCATAGTTTTTGGTCACTAACAAGGTTTATAACTGACGTAGAAGTATGTTCTACAAGCTGGTAAGATATGTACGTCTGTTCTTCACCAAATATCAGAAAAGAAAATATCAAACCACAAAGGGTGTAGGTAGTTTTTTATTTGTCCCTTAAAAAACTTACAACTAGTCCTTTTATCACATAGCCAAGAGAGTCAAAATACGCAAGCTACCTTTCACGTGCTAAACACATGCACTTAGGACAGTGACTTACAGAGATCAAAACGTCGAAACCATTGTTTGTGTTTATAGGTTACAGGTGCGAAATTTCACACGTTGTAGCTTTCTCTAGGCAAAGACGAACTATTTAAATTAAAAATGATATAAAATATCCAATATGTAATAGTTACATTTAAGTAAAAGGGAAAGCTTTCAAGGAAGATTTGTTTGTTTATCGCAAAACTATTACGGCTATCTGTCGCCGCCCCTACCTATAAACTGTTGGCCAGAGAGAAGGCAACCGACTGACAACAACTATCGCTATCACTTGTGCTGCCATTTTTCCGACGCATAATGGGATTGACCGTCACATTACAACGCTCTCAAGGTTGAAAGGGCGAGCGTGTTCAGCGCCGGGTTTCGGTCCCACCTGCATATTGTGAGTTGAGAGCCCTACTCCCAGGTCATACCAGGTCTTTAAGGAAATAACTTTTTTTTCTTCATTTATGACCTTTAATCCCAATTAGTTTGGGGTCGCCCGTGATGATGGTAAGCCAGAATTTTTACATCCGGATGGCTGGCCCAGTCGGCAACCATATAGAACGAGCATGTTTGGTGACGGGGATTCGAACTCACGATTTCCAGATCGAGAGTCGAGCGCCCTAACCATCAGGCCATGCCAAGCCCCCTTTTAAGGAAAGACGATTCTACTACCACAACTTCTGGTAATACGCAGTTCGAAGATACTCCAAAGCTCTTAGGTTTTTATATATATTTTCCTATATAGGTATCTCCTGATGAATTATAACTAGATACAGGAGATTTGCTCCTTCAACACTGTAAAACAATTATTTAGTAACTTTTTAAACTGTCTAACATTTATAAATACATAAATTTTAATATTCACGGTATATTTCTTTTCTCACAAAATTATTTAGTCAATTCTGACTGTTTAAAAATGAAAAATATATTAACTGATGGAGCAATTTGCATAAAACAAGTTCACCAGATGTTTTGATATATCTTTGTCCAGTAAGCCTACTTAGCGTGGTTATATTAATAATTAGTTACTTGGAGTTTTTTTCTTACATCTTACAAAACACTGTTATCTTGTAATTAAGTTTCATGAAATGCAAGAAATACAAATTATTATCAATTATATTATATCTAGTATATCGTTTTAAGAATTTTAAGTGCATGAAATACACTAATCTTTATAATGGAGTTCGCACCTGGAAGGAATATGGACGCTGAAAAACAATTTCTCATTTCAGACTACTTAGGCCATTTAGCTTGGTACGTCCAAAAACTTAGAATATATATAAATGTGTGTTAGTAAAAGTGATAATTAATATCGGACTGTAATCACTGGTTTCTTTACAATTTAAATATTTATTTTAGCAAGAAATCTATCCAATATATTCAACACATGTACTCCCTACACATGAATTACACCATTAAATATATTGAGAAATTGT